TAGGAGGCACGTGCTCTTGCTCGCAGGGGAGCGTGTCGTCCTGTTAGAGCGTTTGGTTCAACTAGTTAAGGCTATGAACCGGCAAACAGCCGTCGGAAAGGTGCGTGTCGAAAGCGCCGAGCAAGAGACGGGAGTCTTGAGAGTCTCAGTGTCTGCGTGAGAGGGATGCCGCTGAAATATTCAACGGCGAGGAGTAACGGAAAGCCCCGAGGGAGCGTTCAGGGATCTCGCAGTGGTTTTTTTTTTTCTTGTTTGTTCAGTTCTGACCATAATAACTGTTCAGGAGAGGCGACGGCCCTCCAACCTAACCCCCTTGCAGGTTAGACAGACGCGGGTGGATGGAGCACCAGAGGGAGAGAGGAATAAAGAAGAAAGAGGGGGCCAAGGTAACATGTTTTCTACAAGATTTTTTGGTTTTACTGAGGGAATTGATGAGATGGGAGTGGGAGAGCAGAGACAGTAGAGGACAGGGCCCCTTATGACCAGATTAGATGAAACGGAGAAGGATCTGTTGCTAAATTATTGATCAAAGCCTGTAAGATCAGTGGGGAGTAAATCCATACTGAGCCTAGAAAAACAAATAGGGTGGCTTGAGCAGGATGTGGTGTTGAGCAGGGAGCCTGTGGTGTTATTACTGTTAGGGGTGATGGGTGCGTGCAAGAGGGCAGGCGGCAGCCGGCTTGATTTGTGCCCGAGCTCCTCCAGCTTGCTCCAAAGGAAGCATTCGTCTTCTGGGGGACATTGCAGTGTTAGGACATGGTAGGGAATTCTTCAGGGGCCAAAGCGAAGGCATGGGCTTGCAGCGGAAGGTAATCTAGGTTCTGGTTTGATGTTAAAAAATGAAATGGGACCCCTTGGTCAGCTCACTGCCGGCTCTTCCCCCTCCCTCCGCGCCGCTCTGCGCCGCAGGGGAGCCTGAGGGCAGCTGTGCAACGTGGTTTTGCACGGAGATGCAACTCCGTGATTCATTGTTTAATTTGGAGCGACTGGTGAGGCAGATTCTGGCATGGCAGAGTGTGAGGTTTCCAATAGCCTTTTCATTTTATTTACTGCTCTAGTGCCAGGCTGGTTATCCATATGGCTTTATTCTCTCACTGATGGAGAGATTGTTAGCTGTTCTTGCCAAATAAAACATGGCATCCTCTCGTGTTATCTGCTGCTGAATCCCCTGCCCTAGAGTGCATGTGGAGTCCTTTAAGTTTGCATCAGAGACAGCCGAATTTCTCGCTACTGGTGCGTGCAACTCCTGCCTGCTTGATACTTGTGCTTGCTGACTGTTGTTGGATAGCAGAGTCTTTATGTTTTCTGGCATTTGTTACTTTTCATAGTCCAAAGTAGAACAGCCGTTGTGTTTGCTTGCTTTAAAGGCTGCTGGTTCTCTGCCCCCTGAGGACTTTCCATCAAGTGGAGGTATCCTCACATTCCAAAGCAGCAGATGCGTATGATTCCTCGTATCCTCACCGCTCTCAGCTGTTCGTTACTACTGTTGTGTTTTATTTGCACTACAGTAGCTCTGATAAACCCTACTCCTGTGTAGAATCCTGAAGCCAAGAAGTAAAATATCTCTTATTTTTAGGTTTTTTAGCTGTAGACTGTATGTTTTTTCAGAAATTACAGGAGTGGTCTGTGCAGAATTATTTTCTATATTCATATAAATGCAGGTAGATAGTTAAAAAAAGAAAAGTGCACCTGCCTGCCTTGTGATATTTGAAGGGAACTTCAGTCCCACCCCCCACCCCCCCTGCTTTTTAATCTTCTCTGTTTTTTAATTTGTTTAATTGTATTCTCCTTGTCAGGTGGAAGATGGGACAGTTTCCCTTGTGTTTTAGGTGACTCTGACACCTGGTTACCATGAAGTCCTGAAGGAGATAGAGGGACAGTAGTGGGAATTTCTTCTCACTCCTCAAAAAAAATCCAACAATTGCCTAATGGTAAGAAAGCTGTTATTTTTAATTAGCCTTATATTGTACAGGGTCCATTAATCGAGGAACACATTAAAGAGTTTGAGATCCAAACCCACTGGGCCACGTGCAGGGGAGTCGAGGAGGATACAGACTGTAAATGTGGCGTGATTGGAGAGGGTGGGAGGAGTTGGTTTAAAAACACGATTGTCCCCTGTTTTGTGCCCTCTCCCCAGGGATTACCTCTCATGCTGACGTCATGGGGAGCTGCTGCAGTTGTCTGTGCAGAGACAGCATCCCAGACAACCATCCCACCAAATTTAAGGTAAGTATTGCACCTTCATCCCCATCAGAGAGTCTGCGACAGCACTGACTACTAGCAAAGCCCAGTGCGGGTTGGACTCCACCATGAAAGGAAAGAAAACCTCTCCTGTTGCAGAGAAGTCTTTTGCTTGATAAGATTTGCAAATATGTTACTGTTTTGGTTTGCTGGGGCTTTTTTCCTTTCCTTAAGCAACCTCTGCTGCAAATATGTTTGTATTTGCAGTAGAAATTGCCTCTGCACTGAGATTCAGCTGAGCAAGGAAATGGGGAACTGGAGAGAAACCTTTTATTGCTCAGGGCTGTGTTCCAGTGTCTGTGTTGAGACACATCAGCTGAACTGCCAAGCACATAGTCTCCAGGGCTGCCGGCTTGGCGCCTTCTGCCAGCAACAAATTCATGCTCTCAGCTGAGAAAAGGCATCTCAGTAAATGAAAGGGGAATCCACGGGAATTACAGTATCTTCGTGGGTGGGTTTTTTTTCGATACCAATGCACTGAGTTTCCTGATGTGAGCTCTGTGGCCTACTGCAGGTAACGAACGTGGACGATGAAGGTAACGAGCTGGGATCCGGGATTATGGAGCTGACACAGACGGAGCTCATCTTGCACACTCACAAGCGAGATGCTGTCAGGTGGCCCTACCTCTGCTTGCGCCGCTACGGCTATGACTCCAACCTCTTCTCCTTTGAGAGCGGTCGTCGCTGCCAGACCGGGCAGGGTGAGTGTGGAGGTTCCTGGAGGAAAGAACACTGAGGTTTCTGTTCCCAGGCAGCCAGAGCGAGCCAATCCTTGTGTCTTCCCAAATTCCTGCATCTTTTGCAGCCTCTGTTCCCTGAGAATACCAGACTGTGCATGCACATAGAGTTAATACTCCTGATTAAAACACACATTGCGGCTCAGCCTGGGCATAAATCTAATGGTCTCATTTTGCTAGTGCATCGACGCTCATGAAGTAATTGGTAAAGCAGGCTTGAGCATTGGACGGGGTGTATTTAATGTCAGAGAGGACGCTAGCTACGCTGTCATAGCTACGCTGTCAGCTCTGAGCTTCGGTACTGAATGATGCACAGCTGTGGTAGGAGAGGTTGCTGGACTTCTCCTTAGGAGCTAGAAAGTGCTTTTTGCAAGACGGAAGCTTCGTTAAGCATTTTTTAACTCTGGGGATAAACCTTCAGGGCATCACCTGCACCTTTTTGCAAGTCTGTCTTAGGGTTTGCTTATTCCACAGAGCTGCCAAACGCACGTCAGTAGCAATAGTTGTTTGAGCACGTTTCATGTTTCTCAGCGCATTCGCGCTGCCTGTGTTAGTGCTAGTTCTACTTAATGCTTTGCATTTTGTGTCTGGCAGCGCTTGGTAACATAGAGGGAAAGGAGTTTTACGTTTTACTGCTTTTATGCATGGGGATGCTGTGCACAGAGAAGGGAAGTGAGTCACCCAGGAGTACATGCCAAGTCGTCAGCAATGCTGGGAATAGACTCCAATTTTACAGTGGTGCCTGTTAGTTCCTTTACCAGTCTGTCTCTCTCGTTTTTAGAGCTGAACATTTTCTTGGCATCTGCATCCGCGGGAAAAAAAAGTTTGTTTCCTCATTCTATTAATGTGTTTGTAAACTACTTCTTATCCAAAAGGACTCTGCATGACTGTTCAGTGTCTGTGTAAAGTGCTGCGCAAATCTGTAGTGCCGTATGCTCCTTTTTAATATTTATGTAAGTGGGGTTTTCCTCTCCTGGAGTCGTGTGCTTATCAGTTGCCAGCAATGAGAACTGCTTGTCTTTGTTTTCTGTTTTGCCTTTTGCAAGATGCAGCGATTAGAATTCTGCCCTGTGCGTGTTTTGTTTTTTATTTAGGTTCAGGTAGTGGGGATAAAGCAGAGCCATTTGCTCTTCATATATTACAAAATTTTTAGCAGGCACATACTTACTCATCAGACAGAAATGAGAGCGATGGCGTTGTGTTTTGATGAGTTTTCTCCCTTCCTTTTAGGATTTTTTTCTGCTTAGTTAATTTTATTTGGCGGGCTCCTTCCTGGTGCTGCTCCCCGCCTTATATAAGGCAGATATAGCTATTTTTTTGGCCAGAATGTTTAAAACCTTACTCTTTGGGGTAGCAGCCGTTGTTGCCATGCCGTTCTTGTTGCTATGGCTTTTGTGCGTGTGTGTGCGTGCCAGCTTGGGATTGGTTAGCTCTGCACACACCAGCTCTGTTTTGGGCTGCTAGTTTGGGGAGACACTGTTTAATTCCATACATTTTGGAAATAGGACGTTCTTGTCCCTCCCTCGCGTGCACACTCCGCAGGGCCCAGTTCAGCTTCTGGTAGTCACTGGATAGACTTTCCCCTGGTAACGAGAACTGGACTGGGTGCCAAGTGAGTTAAAATAGAAGATTAGAGATGAAACGAGACCGGTTAGCCTGTCCCTTTCACACCTCTGCTCGCGTGGGATTGATCATCTTAAGATAACTGGGGTGCTCACTATTTTTCTTGTAATAATGCGCCGTTTGGTCAGACAGCAGTCATGGCATTGTATTTCTGTTGATGCAATAACCCACCGAGTTGTTGGTTGTTCTCCTGTGGCTGTGGGTTGCAGGGGTTGATTGTGTTAAACACAGCAAAAGAAATCAAAATTGCCTGTTCATTTAGAGCCGGGAATTGCGTATACTCTTGTTGAAGCAAGATCGCTTTCTTGCTTTTCTGACCTTCCTCTTCGTTACTGTGCAGGGATTTTTGCCTTCAAGTGTTCCAGAGCAGAGGAGATCTTTAATCTGCTTCAGGACCTGATGCAGTGTAACAGTATCAACGTAGTGGAAGAGCCTGTTGTCATCACCAGGAACAGTCACCCCACGGAGCGGGAGCTCTCCCGGACCCCCCAGGCACCCAGCAGTAAGGCTCCTTCAGTGTCCGGGGAGAAGAGGGAGGAACACAGCGACGCGGGCGATGTCTGCAATTGCTCGCGTGAAACTGCCCTTTGCAGCCCACGGATCTCGCCCATGTGCTGCCTCACTGCTGACCCACATCTTTATGTCCACGTGTGCCCCATGCGTACATGTTTATTTTAAGGCCCCCCTCTCCCTGGCTGCGACGTGGTATTTTGTTTCCAAGGAAACAGCAACAAAAAGCTCTTCAAATAGTCAACTGAGTTGTCACCTTTCAGTTGGTTTTCATCTGGACTGCTGCCGAGTGGCCTTTTAAAGTAGCATCTACAAGGATCAGGTGGTTCCTAGAGGAAACCGCATCTGGAAGAATTTGGCTTTGCTCAATTCCTGTCTCCATTAGGAGTGACTTAAATAGATTTAAACAAGAGGGCCTAGCCCTTGTATTTATACCAGGTACTTCATCGTGGGGGTCTTCCCCAGACAGACTGATTCTCACTTACAGGGTGCAGTTAAGAGGCCAGCTCGCTGTGAAAATGAAGTCACCTCTATTTTATACCAAACCAATGCTCTAATGCTTATCTCTCTTGATTCTCTCCCAGGTCTGGGGTACACTGTCCCAGGATTTCCCAATGGATTTCACAGCTTCCCTGGAGAAACCCTATCATACTCCGCAGCCCGCCACCCCTCCGTGAGCAGCCTGAGGCATTCCTCTGTGGGTGAAGACTCTACTCATGCCCTTATCGGGCCTGATGAGCAGGTAAACGTGGATGTCCTAAATTCTGCTGTTTAGAAGCAATGAACAAGCAGCTTGTTTTGCTAGCAGCCGTGTGCAATCCTGAGTTTCTCTTACTCCAACAAAGCTCAGGAGATCCTCATACCTTGTCATCCTTTTTACAAAGCTCAGGAGATCCTCATACCTTGTCATCCTTTTTTTTTTCCTCTTTTGCTTCTTTTTGCTCTTGGAGACTTCTGCTCACTGACGCTTCACTAGAACAGGCGCTCTGTCAAGGCTGACTGAGTTGGCTTCCTTAATCCACTGGTATTTGTGTGTCAATTATTTAACAGCAGCACTTCGCTTATGAGTCCAAGTCTTACTGCCCTATCTGTCAGCTATTACTGCAACCCCTAAACTGGTGTGCAGATGCATACCCAAGTTCAGACTCTTTTTATTTTTGATGTTCAGCTCTTTGTTCTCAGTTTTAGAATTCAAGATCTTTCCCTGCAAAATCCAGCTTGTCTCAGCCATTATCAGAGAAGCCGAGGTAGGTGTGAGTGCTGCAATACTGCCAGTGTAAGCCACTCAAGGAAATATTTTGCAAGTGGCTTTGCTTTTCGTTCTGTGCCATATGCATCAAGCGTGAAATAGATGATGTGTATCTGCTGCAGTTGGACTCCTTTTTGGGTCTCCTTCAGCCCACAAATCCAGAAATGGCTTTTGTGTTTGGCTTCCCAAAGTATTTTCAACTTCTGAATTTCTTTCATTTCCCCCTGCTTCACCAGCCACCGAAGAATTTTCCGTTCCTGTTGGTTTCTCAGCTGCTGACAGCTGCTTTGCTCTTGTCTCTTCTCTTCTCCTTTCACTGTCCCTCTGCTTCTCTCCTTGCAGTCCCACACCTACGTCAACACGGCCAATGGCGATCAGGAGCTGAGGGGCCGACATTGTATGCACTCCTTGCCTGAAGTCCACCCTCCTTTCCCCCATAGGAACCACAGCTGCTCCCTCGAAGACCGCAATCCCCAGGTCTTTCTGCAGCCAGGGGAGGTTAAGTTCGTGTTAGGTCCCACATCCAACTACAGGCGCGTCTGTCGGCATCACCGGGAGTGCAGGACGCACTTCTGCCCCCCCAACAACAACAACGAGTGCGAGGAGGAGTGCCCTTCGCCCCAGTGCGTCTACG